GTTTTTTTTTTTTCTTTTTCTTTTTCTTTTTATATTATTCATATTATTTATATTAATATTATTATTATTATTAATATTAATTTTATTATTATATTGTCCAGATTGTCCAAAAGTGTCCAAGTTCAGAACTGATCAATATTTCTATCACTTGTTCTAAGATAAGAAAATCTGAAAAAAGATCTGAAAAAATTGAAAATCGATAAACGAAAAATTGAATAACGAAAAACGATCAAAAAATTGAAAAAAGATCTGAAAATTTGAAAAAAAAAGGTAGAAAAACGAAAAACGAAGATAATACCAGATCAAACGAAGATCTGAAAACGACACAAAAAAAACGAAGATTAAAAAAATACCAGATCAAATGAAGATAAAAAACCGAAAAAAAACCCAGATCAAACGAAGATAAAAATAATACCCGATCAAACGAAGATAAAAAAAACAACGAAGATCTGCAAAATTGAAAAACAAAGATCTAAAAACGAAACAAAAAACGAAAACGAAAAACGCAGATCTGGAAATAAAAAAACGAAAACGAAAATACCAGATCAAAAATTCGAAAAAATGAAAACGAGAAAAACGAATGCAATAAAACAAGAAAACGAATGAAACCCATATTTAAAAAAACCCAGAAAAACGAAAAAAAAAAACCAGAAATACGAAAAAAAAAACCCAAAAAAATCAAGAATTCGAAAAACCCAGAAATGAAAAACCCAGAAACGAAAAAAAAAAACCCAGAAACGAAAAACCCAAAACAGAAAAACCCAGAAACGAAAAACCCAAAAACGAAAAAAAAAACCCAGAAAAACGAAAAAACAACCCAGAAAAACGAAAAAAGCCAAGAAAACGAAAAACAAGATCTGAAAAACGAAAGAAAAACAAGATCTGAAAACGAAAATACCAAGAATGAACGACGACGATGCTTGAAGAGAGGCAGAGAATGAAAGTGAGGAGAGAGAGAGCATCGAGGGAGTGACTCTGAGTGGAGAGAGACGGAGAGGATGAGAGTGAGGAGTGAGAAGGAGTGAGAAGAGACAATAATGAGAGTTGAGAGGGATTAGGCCCATATTATAATAAGCCCTCCCGATTTATTTATTTTTTGATAGTCTAATACAACGGATTCTTATATCTAATACAACGGTTACTCTAAACCGTTGTATTAGACCTGTTTATACGACTTTTTTTTTTTTTTTTTTTTTTTTTTTCTGATCCGTTGTATTAGACCTATACAACGGATTCTTATATCTAATACAACGGTTAGTATTAGACCTGTTTTAGTATAAACCGTTGTATTAGCCTAATCTAATACAACGGTATGAAATTATCCGTTGTATTAGCTAATTTTGTACCGTTGTATTAGATTAAAAATGTAGTAGTGGAAGAGGTTATATTGTATTGTAATCTCCACCTAATTAATAGCTAAGTAATTTAAAGTGAATTGCAAAATAAATGCAGTAAATATCTTTTTAAAAAGGAGTAGTTTTTTTTCTTAAACAAGTAAAAAGTACGGAGTAGCTTTCTACTAGTTTGAAAACTGATTTTTTAAAAAAAAAAAAAAAAATTGGGCCCCTTTCTAGCGTGGGCCCTAGGCGGTCGCACTCGAGGCCTACCCTCAGGGCCGGCCCTACAAAAAACCCCACCCCAGCCCCCCTGTAATACCCCGTATTTTGAAAACGTATTTTCCAATTAATTAAATAGTTAGTATTTTCTAAAAAATGGTATTTTAGTAATTTATTTTACTATTTGAATTTTGGAGTCAAAATGATATTTGATTTTTGGCACCAACAACATTTTCAAAACTCAATGATTATTTTGGATTTTGGATAAAATTTATTATCCATTTATTTTAATAAAAATTGAATTATATATATATTTTTCGGATATTTTAATTAACAAAAATTATATTTTTTATTTATAAATTAAAGGGCCGAAATTCCTAAATTAATTAATGAGATTTACGAATTTTCTAAGTGTAGAAAATCTGATTTTTATTAATTAATTAAGTTAGTTTTAAGTTAATATTTTCTAATTAATTATTTTCTACAAAATATATTATGTACACAGTCATTTTTAATCCTTAAAATATAGCAAATATTTTCCTAAAACTAGTAGTGGAGGTTCGAAAATAGAGTGGAGGTACGAAAATATGAGCATGGATATGCTCAATATTTTCAGCCACCCTATGTTAATTTTGGGTTAATTATTTTGTTGGTTTTGTATTTTAATTATTCTTCCTTAAATTCCTTAATTCCTATTCTCCTTCTCACAAATATTTGATCATACAATTTATTTGCCTCAAATCATTCTTGATTAATCCCCAAGCAAAGACATTTACCATTTAATATTTCATGACTACATACTTACCTTATTTTTTCTTCTTAATCACAATAAACTAGACTTTCTCTCTTTTCCAAGTAATTCCTTAAGCTAAATTTATCATAATTCTTCATACAAAATCTTACCTTAATTCTTTCATTCATGAGCCTATAAATACCCCCTAATACCTCTCATATTTGTCACACCGAAAACTCAATTCTCTTCTTCTCTCTTACTCTCCTTTTCTCTCAACCTTTTCCTACTTGTTTTCTTATCTTTTCTAAAAGAGAATCAGCCCGTATATCTTTAGAGCCAATTTTCAGAAACTTATGGTCAATTTTGGGGTTTTTCTATTTCACGGAAAATTGTTCCTCTCAAAAAATCCTTGAAGTTAGGCTCATGAATCATCCAATTAGGAGTTATATTGAAGAAGTTATAGCATCTGCAAGTTCTGCCTATTCTTTCCGGTGCAAATTCAATTCTCTTTAATCCTATTCCTTTATTTTCTTCATGGTTAGTTTTTTAAAATATAAATACTTATTTCAAAGCTGTAATTTTATATTAAAGTATTATTTTTAAAGAGTTTTATAGTTCATGCACATTAGATTTGGGTTCATGCACATAAGCTGTGATAACCTTATGGTTATGTTAATTGCAAGGTGTATTCGTGATTGAACTTTGAAAGTGCGAAGTGTTGATTGAAATTCAGAATCAAGGTACGTTTAGGTGGCTAGATACCTTCGAAATTGTTGAATTAATAAGCATGTTTGTGTGATTTTAATTAAATTGTTTTAAATTATGATTTATAAATTAACCTTGAGAATTCATGTTTTAATAAATATGTTTGAGAATGGATTTCTATCTTGTTTTTAATGGTTTGAATTTATTATGTTTAAAGGAATTGGTTTTTAAAAGTGTGTTGGATTGATTCAAAGAGTTTTTAAAAAGGTTTGATTTTAAAAGCTTGTTGAATTAAATACAAAGAGTTATTCTATTATAAAGTTTGATTTTATTCAAAAGAGGAATTTCATGAGAATTATTGAATTATTTATTAAAAGTTTTACAAGCATTATTATTATATTAATCCCACTATGCGGATTCATTGAAGACTATGGATTTTGTATGACCTAGTCTTTCCTCAAGAATAGTCTTTCAATATAAAGATACTAGCTTGGGGGGTGTGCACACTTAGGAGATGAATTGGGTTTTTAGAAAGGAATTATTTTTATCACTTGAATTATTATCCAAATTATTATTGAGTTTTTGGAATTGTTTGAGAATCTTGAGAATTGATTTGAATTTATGAGTTTGGAATTATTGGATTTACTATTGGAATTGTTTTTAAAAGCATGTTTGCAAATAAATTGAGTTTACTTATATTACACTTAGCATATTTTGCTAATCTGTATTTCCTATTTGTTTTGGTTCGCTCTGTTTACCTTAATGGTAAGCAGTGTTGACTATTTTCAAATGAAGTCAATAATTTAAATGAGCATTTGGGAGTCCCGGGTCACCTAGTTAGGAATGTTGGTCTTTGTTTCTACTTTTGAATACTCTTGACAATGGTTATTACTATTTTATAAGTATTAATAAAAGAAGAGTTGAGTTTTCCGCTGCAAGTTTGTTATTGAGTTAAGTATTTTGAGTAGCCTTGCGTAATCACGCGGCAGTAATACGCATAAGCCTATCTCTACGGTATAATTATACGTATTATACTAGTATTTTCATAGAGGGAGATTTGGGGGTACGGTGTTACACCCCCTACTTGGCCCAAAACCCCAACCCTACCCCATTCTTTTGATTGGAAACCCCAACCACCAACCTCCTTACCTGACCCGAAAGAGCAAAAGTGAGAGAGGAGATCGGTATGGTTGTTATGGAGAAAAATGAAGGGATTTCAATGAAGGAGAGAGAAAACGGTGAAAGAAAGCGACTAACATTATTGGAGAGGTGAACGGTGAGGTGGCTAGTCGATGTGGGTAGGAGACTAGGAGGTGAAAGTGGAGGTTGAGGTTTAAACCATAGTTAGTTTTATATAATAAAAAAAACAAAAAAAAAACCTCATTAAGGTCATTTAATTTTCTATTTAGTTTTAAATAGCACACTTTTTACCATATTACTCCGCATTAATACCATGAGCTCAAATTTGACCTATAACACACCATACACATCATTAATGAATTATGAATTTTGTTATCGTACTTTTTAAAGTTATATTATTAGCTCATTAACCTAATTGGAATTTTTGCATACATATTTTAAAAGGTCGTGTATACCAAATTATATATACAGTGCAATAAAAATAAATGTTTATATGTAACTAGAGCAAATAAAAATAAATAACGAATTAGATTAGTTGGTTAAAGTCTTGAAAAATCAATTATCCTTACACAAAGTTTCATATGTGGTGTGGCCACACCGTGTGCCCGAAATTACTTAGTTAGGAATTACTCAGTCGGCTAGGGGTTACTTGGTCGATCAGACGGTCAGAGGTTACTTGATCAACGGTTACTCGATCGGTCAGGGATTAACTCGGTTTGTAAGGGGTTACTCCGTCAATGTTTTGACGTATGTCACGCGCTTTGCCCTTGGTAGATTTCTGAAAAAAAGAATTACAATTACAATTACAATTACAATTACAATTACAATGGGGTTAAACTAGTAAGAAATTAAAATAATAAACCCTAAATTTCATTCCGCACAATCCCCCACTTCACTCATCAAACGAAAACCCTAAACCCTAAAAGTAAAACCCACCACCTCCATTCTCTGTTTCTTCTTCCTTGTTCAACAGAGGCGAAGAGAGAGAGAGTGAAAAGGAGGAGAGATAAAGTAGTAATGAAGACATATTTGCTATTCGAATCCTCATCCGGGTATGGGTTGTTTCATGCTGAAGGTTTAGATGAAATTGGGCAGAACACCGAAGCTGTTCGTAACTCTGTTTCTGACCTTAATCGTTTTGGTAAAGTTGTCAAGCTTACTGCTTTTCAGCCTTTTGAGTCTGCTCTTGATGCTCTTAATCAATGCAATGCTGTTTCTGAAGGTGGGCTTTCTTTCTTTCTTTTTTTTTTTTATTTTTTTTATTTTCATTTTGTTTTGTTTCTGGGTTTTTGTTGCTGGGTTTTTGTTGTTGGTATTGATTTGATGTTTTTGTGCTTTTATTGTGAAAAATGTTTGATTTTAAAGTATGGTTTTGTTGATTATTTTAACTGATTTTATGTGCTGCTTGGTTTTTGAGAGATGGGTCTTGTGTTATTGAGTCATTCACAAAATGCTTGAATTTATAACAATGAAAATTGTCATGTGTTGAATCCTTAACACTTAGTTAAATTTTCTAATTTTAATTGTAATATATGGAGTACATAGCTTAGCTTTTGATTTTAGGAAATGTAGTTGTGATACAGATTAGATTATGCATTTGTTGTAAATGGCTTGAGTTCCAGCTTGTTGCTCATCAATTACCATGCCGAAATCGGTTTGTCAGCTTGGTTTTTTAAAGAGACTGAGGAGATTGAAGGTGAACTAATTTATACATTGTGTATGAACAGGTATTATGAATGATGAACTGAGAAATTTCTTAGAGCTAAGTTTTCAAAATTCAAAGGCCAAAGAATTTATTGTTGGAGTAGCAGACTCTAAACTTGGTGCTAGTATTTCTGAAGGGACTAACATTTCTTGCAGAAGTAATGAATTTATGTTGGAGCTTCTCCGTGGTGTTCGATTACACTTCGAGCATTACATCAAGAATCTTAAGGTTGTGAATTTTTCCCTTTATAAAATCCTTTGAGGCTTTGTCTTGCACAGCACCCAAATTCTGATAAGCTTGTTTTAATTTGGTAGTTACAGATATGTTTGTCTTAAGGATGTTTTGCACTTCTTATTTTTTTGTAGCCTGGGGATCTAGTGAAATCTCAATTGGGTTTAGGACACAGCTACAGCAGAGCAAAGGTCAAGTTCAATGTTAATCGTGTCGACAACATGGTTATACAAGCGATCTTTCTGCTTGACACCCTTGACAAAGATGTTAACTCATTTTCAATGAGAGTAAGGTTAGCCACATGCTACCTATACTGTGTTGCACCCTTCTTTCTTTTGAACGATTTTAGGGCTCTTTTAAAACCTCTTTGCCCTATTTAATGCAGGGAGTGGTATTCATGGCATTTCCCTGAGCTAGTTAAGATAGTCAATGACAACTATCTTTATGCTAAATTGGCCAAATATATTGAGAACAAGTCTGAGTTGTCTGAGGAGAAGCTGTCTGACTTGACTGAAGTTGTTGGTGATGAGGATAAAGCAAAGGAGATTATTGAAGCTGCTAAAGCATCTATGGGTAAATATACTCATTGTTTGTCAAAGTTTATTTCACATGTGCATTTAAAAATGACAAAAGTAGAAAATTCATCCTAATAATGCTGGCTTTCCTGCAGGCCAAGAATTATCTCCCGTTGACTTGATTAATGTCCAGCAATTTGCTCAAAGAGTAATGGATCTTTCTGAGTATAGGAGGAAGCTTTATGATTACTTGGTCACAAAAATGAACGACATAGCCCCAAACTTGACCTCTTTGATTGGTGAGATGGTTGGGGCAAGATTGATCTCCCATGCTGGTAGTCTTACAAATTTGGCAAAGTGCCCTTCTTCCACCCTGCAAATTCTTGGTGCTGAGAAAGCTCTTTTCAGGTAATTTCTGATCCTTGTTGATGTTTGGCACTCTTGGCATCTTTGCATATTTTTGGTAAGAAGCTACTAGCTTAGTTGGTTTTACTTTCTAGTTTGATATATTATACCTTTGGAAGTATATGAGGTGTGTGATCATCATATTTGCCTAGTAAGAAGACTCATTGTGCATTAGAAATGTCTCATTGAATACTTTTTGTTTAGGGCCCTGAAAACACGAGGAAACACACCCAAGTATGGTCTGATATTCCATTCGTCTTTCATTGGGCGGGCATCTTCTCGGAACAAGGGAAGGATGGCACGTTATCTTGCAAATAAGTGTTCCATTGCCTCTCGTATTGACTGTTTCTCAGGTTAGTTACTGTTGCAACTTATTATATCCTCGCTTGCAAGTTGATTTTTTGTTGGGATTAGGCTAATTGATTCTTGAATTTTGATACATAATTACATTGATACAGAGAAGGGCTCTACTATTTTTGGCGAAAAGCTACGTGAACAAGTAGAGGAAAGGCTTGACTTCTATGACAAGGGAGTTGCACCTCGGAAAAATATTGATGTCATGAAAGCAGCAATTGAAACCCAAAAGGATGGTGAGTATCAGACATTTGTCTTGTATGGTGGTATTGTATTGAATTAGTTGATTCCTGAGGTTAGAGGATATTGTTCAGGCTACTAACCTTTCAGTTTTAAAACATGCACAGGTGATGATGATATGGACTTGGATAATCAGCCTGACTCTGCTGTAAAAAAGAGTAAGAAAAAGAAATCCAAGGATGACGATGTTGCTGCCACAAATGGTAGTGGATTGGAAGAAACTAAGTCTGAGAAGAAAAAGAAGAAGGAAAAGCGGAGATTAGAACAAGAACAATCTGTAGCAGTTGAGAACGGTGAGAAGGAAGATGGAACTATCAAGAAGAAGAAGAAAAAGAGCAAAGATGATGGTGAGGATGTATCAGCTGTGAGTGAGAGCAAGAAGAAAAAGAAGTCAAAAGAATGAACAGGATAAAAGTTATGTTTTGTTACCTGGGTTTGCCAGATTTTGATTCGGTTGCAGCGTCTAATGGCTTATATCTATGGTTAATCCATTTAGGGATGTACTGATGTACTTATCCCTTGTTTATTTTAATTGTAATGTAGGAACTGATGGGTTGTTTATTATTATTACAAGTTTTGATAATCGTAACGTGTTATTGTAAATCGCTTTTTTGGTGCTACGAGTTATTGTTAAATGTGATGTTTGATATTATGGCTTATATCTATGGTTAATCCATTTAGGGATGTACTGATGTACTTATCCCTTGTTTATTTTAATTGTAATGTAGGAACTGATGGGTTGTTTATTATTATTACAAGTTTTGATAATCGTAACGTGTTATTGTAAATCGCTTTTTTGGTGCTACGAGTTATTGTTAAATGTGATGTTTGATATTACTCGTAAAGTTCTTATTAACTTATATTGTCAGGGTTATTAATAATATAAGGATTATGGATGATGCGAAACATAATTACATAACCATACCTTTGTTTCATTGAGAAAGCAGCCCAGCACCATTGTTTGATCGAGCCAGCACCTAACAGGCTAATTTACAGTATTAGTTAGGGCTTGTTTGGTTTACGTGAGAAGTTGATTCTTGTGGAAAATTATATTGCAATGGAAAAATTGCAATGGAAAATATACATCACACTTGTAATTTCTAGGAATTTTGTAATCTTTTTTGGTTCAAATCAAAGAAACTTAAAATTCTGATGAATTCTAATTGAACAAAGGGGGGCGGGGATGGTAATATTCTATGTTTTGTAATATAAGAACTCTAATCCCATGATTGATACTTCCTAGATTTTGAATTTTTTGTCGTTAGAAACCATCCCATTTATAAATTCTCATAAAGTTCTACTATCCACACTTTTGAAGATTTACCAAACAACTGAACAAATACTATAGCAACTTGGAGAGTGCCAATGTTCCATATAGAGTTGTATGTTGTAAAAAGTAGGGATGTCAGTAAGGCGGGTCAAATAGAACAATAGAAGACCCATTCTAATAGGGGGGGGGGGGGGGGAGTCTAGTAAGGATGGTGGAATGTAGATGGGAATATAAATCATACTCGTCATAGATGATGGGGCGAGGGTGGAATTTAGTGTGTACTCGCCTCATCCCCACTTTATATCCGTATCTATATAATTTATTAATTAATTAAGTATACTTTTATATTTCTTTATTAAATACTCTGAAAAACCAATGGACATGGAAAGACCAACATCTGCCATGTCCTTTTCCATTAACATTCCTAGTAAAGAAAGCCTCACAGTTGATGACTTAATGAGTAAGGTTCTATTATTGTGTGATTTGTGTCAACTTAATTTAGCTGAATTTATTACCTTTGAACTTAGCTCATGTCATTTTTTTTTTTTAAAAAAAAAAATTAAAATTTATGTGAATGTATATTTCCTCAATTAAACTTAAATTTTATTTTTCCACTAACTTATCTTACCAAAGTCTATGAAAGGGTAACCAATAATGTAACAAGAGTACCAATTGCTTGTTGATATAGTGGTGTTTGGGGCTATAGGTAGGAAGGACCGCGTATTCAATACTCCGCAACAACAATTGAAAGGGAACTGAAACCTAACCACCCACAACTGTCCTCAAATCAGATGGAACACCAAAAAGTATTGTGACAAGAAGTCAACAATTGCCATCAACTTTGAAAAACTTACTCCGTAGTCCGTACTAATATTCTTAATCAGTTAATCCTAAAAAAACGCAAAATTGTGTGAAATGCATCCTAACCGCACAATTTCTTCTACCCAAAGTTTTCATGAACAGACAAATTAGAGCGAGGAAAACGTAGCATTTTGGGCAAGCATTTCCTTCATTTGTCGGTTACTTCCATCCTCATTCTTCTTGATATCTAGAGACATGGAATTCATTTCTGCAACCCCTTCGTCTATATTGCCTTAGATAAAAATTGTAAGCGATCAATCACGACTACATCATTTAATCACGAGACTTTCTTATCATTCCATAAATCAAAAAGTACAATAGAATTAAATCTCGACTATATCATTTTATCACCAGAGTTCACCATAATCCATATAATTAAAACTCACGCAAAAACGATGACAACAACAATGAAATTAAATTAGAAAAAAATAGACAAACATTTACACAAAATTCATTCCCTCTTATTGCATATACTAATATGATCAATCAAAACATTTTTTTGGGTACAACATTTATTGATATAATGTAATCTTTCAGATCACTCGTAAAATCACAATAAAAACCGGAAAAAAAAAATCTAAAATTCTAAGCAGAAACTTTCTTAAAATAGGTAAGGCTCCTAAAGTGTTGCCATGGCTTGTCATAAACAACAGTTTCGTACTGTTGATGATCATCGGCGGCGATTAAAAACCGGTAATTAGTTCCGGCGACAACCTGCGACTCACCTTTGACAATTCTGACAATTCCGAGGTGAGAATTCGCTTCTTCGTTGTGTTTCGCAACCGCGAATTTGGCGACTTCTTGAACATAAGGGTCATTGATGTCTTTGATCGGTTTGTAACCTCCGAGGACGGCGCCGGTACGTTTCCCGGCGGCGGATACGGCGGAGATTACGGCGAGGAGAGAGAAAACGATGAGGAGAATTTTGCGATTCGACATTATTATCTGAATTTTAGGAGAGAGAAAAATGGATTTTTTTTTATTTATAATTTTCTAGATTTGAGGAGAGAGAGATAGATAGAGATTAATGTGATGAGAGTGGATGGTGGTTAATGGGTTATTTATAGGGAGGGAAGAACGCGGAGAAAGGACACTTGGGAGATGGAATCCAGTCCCTTTTTTATTTAATTTTTTTAATAAATTTTTTTAAATGAAAAATGACACGGAGTATCCTCGGTTTCATATATATCTAAAACTAATACTAAACTAGTAACCGCTGACATCATTCTATTTTATAATCAGACACTTGATGTTGTCATTAAAAACTTTTCCTCCAAAACTATAAATAATGTCATCATTTTGTGATTTTTATTTTATTTTATTAAAATTCTGGTCAATTACATTATTATTAATATCAAATTCTGAAAAATAGTTTATTCTCTTTAACAATAATAATTTAACTTTTCATCCTTGGAAACCATTTTCATCGTTCAATTTTTCTTTGAGCTCTATTTTTTTTTTCTTTTAATATTTGATGTTTTATTTGTTTTGGGAATATTTTTGTTTTTAATTTTGGTATGAAAAAATAAATAAATTTAAAAAATTTTATTTGATCAAATCGTGCATCGCACGAGACTAATCTAGTTGTAATTATGATTGCAACCGTTTCATACATAGAGAGAGAGCTCCCGTTCAAAAAAAAAAGGGAAATTCTACATGGCGGTCTCCAGGTTTCAATTTTTTTACGTGGAAGACAAACTTTTTTCCAACTCTCTCAAGTGGCACCCTGGTTTTGCAAAATTAAGTGTAGTGTCCTTTTTTTGGTTTTATGGCTAACTTTTATAATTAAAATGGTTAACTTAATGTTTTTTAGTTTAAAAATTAATTAAATTATATTTTAAAATAATAAAATTTAAAAAAGGAAATTCCACCGGCCACCAGGTCCATCTCGGAAGGTGGCAGCCTTCGCCATTCCGATAGCCCAGCTCACCCCCACCCCCGCCGGCGCCAAGACTGCCCTTTTTCCGCGCCGGCGACTCGTCCCCCCTACCCACTAAACCCACCACCCGAAACCCCCAAATACCCAACTCGAAACCTCAATAAACCCTCCCGCACCACGTTAAACCCCAAATACGGCCCTCTCCCACCCTCAAAACCCCGGGCGACGGAGTTTCGAGGATGGGGGAGGGTCTGTTCGGGGTTTAAGGTGGTGGGGGAGGGTTTTTTTATGGGTTTCGAGTTGGGGATATGGGGTTTTTAGGTGGTGGGTTCAATGGGTAGGGGGACAGGGTCGCCGGCGCAGGCGCGGGAAAAAAGGTTTCTGGGCGTCGGCGATGTGTAGGGGTTCCGGTTGGGGTTGTGGATGGTGGTGGGGAGGGTGGTCATTGGTTGGGGGCTGTTTTTTTTTTTTTTTTTTTTTTTAAAAAAAAAAATATAATTTAATTAATATTTAAACTAAAAAACCTTAGGTTAACCATTTTTATTGTAAAAGTTAGTCATAAAACCAAAAAAAGGACACTAAACTTATTTTTTCAAAATCAGAGTACCACTTGAGAGAGTTGGATAAAGTTTGTCTTCAACTTAGAAAAATTGAAACCTGGAGGCCACCTTGTAGAATTTCCCAAAAAGAAAAAAAAAGAACGTGCTCAAATGGTTAGAGCATCCTTCCCGATTACAGGACCTGTGATCGATTCTCATCACTCGTCCTTGTGGCTCTCTAAATGCCAAAAAAAAAAAATGCAACTGTTTGACTAGCATACTCACTCATGTACCAATTAGACTATTAATGTTTGTAATTATGGTCAATATAATGAATATGTATGATTTAATCCAAAGATAATTTACTTGACAAACTATGTTTTTTTATATATTAGTAAAATATAGTCACAGTAACTACTCCTTATATACTTTTTGTGTTTTTTCTAATACTTTTAATAGTTTTTTAAAATGAAAATGTTATTATACTTACAACACACTATAATGGAAAGGCTTTTGGGGTGAAAAGTTGTCATATTATCCTTAATTAAAGCTCAATCCCATTTTAAATTTATTAAATAATGCGAGTTTCACGTACACTTCTTAAATATAGTAAAAAAGTTTGTATTGCAAATTTAATTACGGAGTAATAAAAAACGGATGAAGTAATTAATAAGGGATATGACAACTTGGGTGCAATAATTAATAATGGATTACTTGGCACATGAAACGATGGGGGAGGGCAATGGGAAATGGGGTCATGGTTTGGTATTTTGCGTAATAATGGATTGGACTTGGACCCCCCATCGGTAAACTATTGTTTTTGCTTGCACACTACTTAGATTTTGCGGTGTTGACTTTATTGATGAGTGGATGGATATTTTATTAGTATGCTTTTAAGTATTGGTGTTACCTTTCCTGAAATGGAAAAAGATAAACGCACTATCCTTGTCCCATTTTTTACCTTAATTTTCCTTTAGGGTCGTGGTGTCTTAATTTAGGCTTGTGTTTGTTCGCCTTGTTAACCCTATTTTATTTTACAACTAAAGCTATGTTAGTTCACCTAATCAGGTCTGATTTTTCGTTTTGATAAAATGTTAACATATTTACTAATTCATAAGAACAAAATCATCAAAATGACAAGAACAGATCTGGACTGATCGATTTGAATATTTATGAAATAATGATATCAACTTAAATAAGTAAACTGAACATAATCTAAACACTAACATAATCTAAACACTAAACTGAGGGAGATAGGATTAGATAAAATCAAATAAGTTTATATAAGTGAAACTAGCATAATTGAAAGTACCCTTACTTTGTTAAGTTGCATCCTTCACACAATCACTTATTCTTGTAAGTTTAGACATCTTTTGCTAATAATAAAGCAACCCAAGTTAGACAAACAAATTTCAGTTACTCCCTCCAATTTTATTTAATTATTCCATTGCAACTTTTTAATTTTGTATTATTTTTCGCATAATCCAGTTTGATCAATGTTATTAGTGATTTAAACATAGAAAAATTTTAGTCATCATGTGAGTATTGATTGGAATCGTCTCACTAAATAGTTTTCGAATATCAATTTTTTTTTTATAATTTATGTTGTACAATGGTTAAAGATTTTACTCCGTATTAACAAAGTTTTACATCAACATATGTGTCCTATTAAAATGGGACATCTAAAAAGGAACATAGGGTCATAGGGAGTACTTCCATCCCAAATCCTCAAGTCATAAGACTCATAAGTTAACTAATCAAGGTCCAAATTTCTGAATACTAGATTAAATATCTTCTACATCATAACTGTTATATTCACCGTAACAAATCCATACACAAAATCAGGAAATACAAACAATAACACGAAATTCATTCCCATATTATAATATTACTCATAATATTCATGCATAACATTATTGTCACAACATTTCTAATACAAACTAAATAAAACTCGAAAACTATAATCTAAATTAAACAAGGCTAACGGACCTAAAATAAGTAAGACTCCTAAACTTTGCCCATGGCTTATCAAAAACAACCGTCTCGTAATTATGAGAATCATTAGCAGCGATCGTAAGCCGGTAATTTTTACCGGAGACAACCTGTTCTTCACCCTTTACGATTTTCACAATTCCGAGATGAGAATCCTCTTGCTCATTATGTTCTTTAACCGCGAATTTTGCGATGTCTTGAACGTAAGGATCACCTAAGTTTTCGATCGGCTTGAACCCGCCGATTTCTGAGCCGCTGCGCAACCCAGCTGCCGATGCGACGGAGATGATCACGGCGAGGAGAGAGAGAGCAACCAAGAGTGTAGGGTGGGTCGACATTTTTCTCTAGATTTCAGGAGAGCCAACGAGAGAAATATTTAAATTTTTTTTAATGAAAAATGAAAAGTGGGAGGTGGTTAAGGGGTTAATTTGTTATTTATAGGGAGGGATGAACAAGGAAAATGGACAATTGTGAAGTGAAATCTAAAAAAAGTAAAATATAAAATGTAAATGAAATAATTTAGTCCAATCTTTTATTAATTTATTTGAATTATAAATATAAATGAATTAATGGTACATGAAAGATGAAACGAGTTAACAATGAAAGTATTACTCGTAATTCAAGGCAAACATTAATCACTTTAACGAACACATGATATTGTTGTCACTAGTAAAAAAACATTGATTTGCAGCGGTTAAAAAGTATTTATTTGCAGCGTTTTTGGGAGGGCAGCAAATGTAACCGCAACAAATCAATTGATAAATTTGCTACGGTTATGCACCATTAACCGCTGTTAATTTTTATTTTTTAACAATTAAATAATGACTAAATGCTGCTTATTATCACAATAATATTACCAAGACACTTGTTTCATTGTTTGTAGTGGTAAAGAAAATGCACATTAAATTGCTACAAAATTATTATCAATATATAAATTTAAAATTTTCCATCAATAAAATCTTGTAAAATTACACTTCAAAAAAAATAATAATAAAACAATACAATTGTACATAACGGACGCAGCCGCGACTATAATTGATCGCATTTACAAACCAAATTACAAACTCAGAGACCATATGAACAGAGAATAGGAGGCAGTAACAGTAGTAGCGTTGGGCAAGCAAGAGCATGAACAATGTCTGCAGGAAGCAACATCAATTAAAGCCACACCCCGTCATGGTGTTGTGCTAGTTATTGCTCTATCTTCAGTCTTCAGGTCGTACAATTGTTTCTGCAATTCTACTGTCAAGGCTAAGATAACCAAAAAGACTATTGTTATGAATTTGATTACAAAAATGATTATACGAAATATTTCACCTCAAATAATAAAGGTTTGAAGTGCACATAATGCAAAAATGCAATCAACTGGTTATAAACTCATAATATCCAACATTTATCAAAAATTAAATTGAGTTAATGCTTTGTTTCTCTAACATAATCAACAAAGGCATGCTGAAGAATTCTCAAAGTGCATCTAAGGCCAAATCAGTAAGGCCCTGTTAATAGTAGGCTAATAGTGATAGCATACACTCTATCTAGTAATTTTGTTAAGTAGATGAGATATAAAAAAAAAAAAAAAAAAAACAAAAAACAGCTGAGGAGGCAACAACAATAAATTAATGCAGCAAATAAATATTTTTCTTGTAGTGTGTATTTTCAAAACAATTCAGTCGCAAATATTTAATTATTCAATCACATGAAAAATTAGTACGCGTACTTGAGCTATCCCTCACTCTCAAGAGTACTTCGTATATAAAGAAATACAATATCAATATACTTCGTATAAATTAAATAATCTGATTGTAGTGATCGACTTCACTTGATTATGTTTTATGTTCACGCTAAGATTTCACTTGATTGTCCACGTGTCTCTAGTTGGAGGATTGTTGTAGCTGGAAATTCTTCAATTAGCTTTGAAAACACAGTTTTCAATTTGAGATTTATCAAATTAAAAATAATTCAAAGTTGTGATTTAAATGCTATTCATTTTTCAATACCTATTTATCAAGCATTCCCATCTACATATTCATTCTTAATCTCGTCTTAATTAATTTCTCACTTGTAAAAACTATAGTGCAGCCAGTAATAAAATTTTAATACGGAGTACAATCTAAGATGAAAATAGTTGTCCTCAAATGTAATTTTAATTACGTAGTAATTCTTCAGTTTAAAATATTATTACTCACTTATTTCAGCAATCAGACATCTATGATTGATACATTACACTGATTACAGAAAAAGTCTTCTAATTCATAGTACTCGTATCATTTTTGTCCCATGTCAAAGTACTATTAATTCTTGCACAATACGGACCACTAATTCAATATACATGAGCAAAGTTAAACAAGACATAAGATGATAAGAATATCAATAATTAGAAAGGACAAAACTATTTTGATGTAATGAAATGGGCAAATATGACTTTGCAATCACTATAAAGTGGAAGGAGTAATGAGTATAGGGGACTAGTGGCCGGGAGTGATGCCTAACCATTGACGCCAAGTTACTACTACAATTAGGAATGAGCAAACCCAGGTAGCCGGCCATAATTATTGAAACTGAATTCGGAACCGATTCCAAAATTTTGAACCGGATTCAAAATCTACGAGTTCTGTCCTAGCATCAGTGGGAAACTGTGAATCAGTTTAAATGTCGGGTATCTAGTCACTATAATATTTTAATAAAAAATTTAATATTCCAATAATATACATTAAAATATATCCAACAACAACTTATTTATTATTCCGTAACATTTTATTTTATATGATTTTAAAGAAAAAATTATCAAAGTAAAGAAAAAAAAAGTCAAGTATGTTCAAAAACAAAAAAAAGCCAAATTGCGAAAAAGGTATATTAAAATATACTACTCCGTACCCAAAAAATGAGCTGAGTTCCATAACCAATTTGTCTCATCAGCCCAAATGAACAGCCCAACACAATAAAATCTATTATAAGCCCACTAGATACATGAATTGAGTACTTCGTAATTTCGTATATTATGATTCATTGCATACTGTTATGAAAAAAATCATTCATTTGTCACTCTCAAAGTTTACTGATAAATTGATTGATTAATTATTATTTTTCAATTCATTCACATTATTAGTCTTACACTCTAATCACTTAAATTTTAATGCTAGCTGAGCTGTGTAGATTCAGAGGTGGGGTTACAAATGCTAACATTGAAAGTGACCCGGTGCAATTTTGTTAAATTGGACCCTAAATTTTTTTTTTTTTAGGAAAATTATGTTACCAAATTCAATAACCGGGGCCTTTTTATAGTAGTTTCACTTAGGGATCCTGTGCGATCGACCATCCTGCATATGCTCAGAACCACCCCATGTAGATGGAGTACCAACTCATAGCACTAAGCTAGACACTACTAGTAGTATAACACTGCATAGGATTCATCATCTGTCGCCTCTTTTTTTTTAGAACTCTCTCATAGAGTCATAGATAGTTTCCACATTTTTTTTTGTTGATTTTGCTCCTTTTTTCGTGTTCGAGAGAATGCTCTAGACTTTATACAAAGTTGCTAAGTTCGAGTCTTTAATTAGGGTATGAATCTGTGAATTTATTTTGTTCAATGACTAATTTGAATTATTCTTAAAATTGGTGTATAAGAAGCCACAAATTACGTGACAAACAGGATTTAATATTTATTCACCACTTTTTAAGATTTCATTCAATTAAGTAGTTGACAACTCGTATTGACATCTGGAGGACTAAAGGTTGTTTGCAACTTAACAAGTCAAAATATTATGATTCATTATTGCAATTGGAAACCCCATTACCTTAATATGCGCTATACTATGACAACAAAAATTAAAAATCACCGACCCATGAAAATATTGTACGTGGAGTATATATAATAACAAACTCAACTGTTAGGCTCTTTTGCTTTTCCAACACGTAAACTTGGTAATGTTAGTTGTTGAATTGATCCAGGCCACAAATCTATGAATTGGTAATAAATAGTTGTTATATTATATATAATTTGAGAAAATAACATCAAACACATAGATATAATATATAGAATCAATCATCATTTTATTAGAACAAAGACATCTATCAATGACATTTATTAATGACTTTATATAGTATTCAAGGTTAATACTTCGTATATTGAATAATAATGAGACACTTTCAAGAGTGAAATTCTTAAATTTGATCCTAATGCTTCTGATACAAGAATGAAAATTATTATAGTCGAATATGTTTACATTTAATAGAACGAAATAAAATGCAAGCACATAGATTTAACCTTACGGTATGTCTAAATGTAATACGGAGTAGTATACTTATTCCGTAGTTTGATTGAATGAGGTGAGTTTCATGAAATGTTGCCAAGGCCTTTCATACACCACAACCTCATAATGGTGGACATCGGCGTGGCTGCATAGCGTCTTGGCAGTGATGATAAGGCGGTAGTTGATGCCGGCAACAACCTGAGTCCACCCCTTAAGGATGCTCAACAACTTGACCTTATGGGCTTCATCTTGCTTGTTGTGTTCCTTCACAGCAAATTGCGCCACCTCAATCACATGTGGGTCACTTAGGTTCGTTATTGGGCCGTAGCCTCCGAGAGGCAGATCCGGAGGGGGGATCTCTTCAGCAGCGGAGACGACGACAGCGATGAGTAGAAGAGAGAAAAGGCAGTAGAGTTGATGATCCATCCTCATATTTAATTTGATTAGCTCTAGATCAAGAAATGGTATAAATCTTAGGGCATGTGTTATTATATAACATGGAATTTGCTTGGGATCTTTCCTTTGGACCCTTGGTTTATGCAAAAGTCATCGTGTGATGCCCTTCACAAGTGGAAATTTTCTCCTATGCATGGGAATGATGGGATCCGAGAACATTTAATTGATACATTTCAAAATATAGTATTACCTAATAATGAAAGATTAGTAATATTTTTAGAAAAACATTTGTTAACTCATCACATATTGGTCCAATTAAAAACCTTAGTCAATTACAAAACCATATACAAGTATGTAATTAATAATCTTCTATATGAAAAGTGTACCCTTATTTCAAGTAGTGAATTAAAAGTAGTATTCGTGAATATTCCATCTGTTTTAAAGATCGTACGGTACGTATAAGAGAAAGTATTGTATGTAATAGTTTATTTATATTAGCTTAGATTTTAGTTTTATCTTAATTGAAAAAAAATTCAGGCTTTGAAAGGTAGTAATGTGGATTATGCTTAAACTTAATTAGGTTGAATGAGCTAGATTAAACTTGTCACATAGCAGTCAATTGATATTAGATTTTTAGTGTATGTTGTCATAATTAGTTAAACAATGATTCCATTTCTTCTCATCGCTACTAGCTGTCCATCTGTTCAACTATGTTTTGATGTTCATCTAGGATTAATAATCCAACTTAAATAAGTCTCACTATTATGAAATTATCATGATATATATATATATAATTGATTGCTTTGAATTTACAACTTTTCTACGTCAGATATTCTTGGATCCTCCAAGATCATAACAAGCTAGCTACAATCTGATCCTACTACTCACGGCGAGCATGAAAATTACAAACTTCCCGATCATTCAAGCTAGTCGATGAAATGAGTTATCAAACATAGCCTGAAGGATCGGAAGACATAAAATGTGCTCACTACTACACAGCTAGGGTGCTAAATAAGTACATATATATACTGGGATAATATGCATCTTTGGCTCTTAATAAATTGACGCTGGCCATATAAATTACGCCGAGCCCTACTGATCGATATAGCACCTTATGCCCTGCATCATCCACCAGTAAGTTCAGTATATATACCGGCGAGCAGCTGATCAAAGTTACAATGCTTGTACGCTGCGCCAAGTTAATGGGTAGTTCACCATTTTACTGGTTCCAAAAACATAGGCTCCTGCTCAAGAGAAATGTGTTAGAAATGAAATTAGTCTTTTTTCATCCATAATATAGAGTATTACATCAATTCTTCTTATAGACAGTGCATGGAAGTACAATTAGGTACATGTCATACAATTAAACAAGATCATGAATAATATGATTGTTCATGATTTCATAATTTTTCATATATTACAACTTCTCATATGTTTTAATTTCCTAATTGCAAATTATATTGGGCTCACATGTCACAGTCATGGAGTACCATGGTCCAAGCTACCACAGATTAAATTAGACGTGCAAGAAGTGTTCTGGGGTACCAAACTTTAATTTTAACGATCCATTGGCATAGCTACCTTGCTAATTCCGGAGTCAATTGATCCCACTTAAATTTACAAATTTTGGGTGATGGTGTAAAAATGTTTTGAAAAATACTTGTATTGGAGTAATAACCATTTTACCTCAATAAAAACATATCAAATGTTTACTGACTTCACTAAATAATTTTCTTTTTTTTTTTTTTTAATCCGCCCCTAAATTTAGTCATATAAATATCTTATAAAGCAAATAAATTAAGTCATGAACTAAACTAGAAGGTTAAAAAGAAGTTGCTTACCAAGAGTAGGCATTAGAACTGATAGAGTAAGGGTGCCAAAAATCTTCAAAGGGAAGCCAACCTTGAGCATATCCTTGATCTCAATATGCCCAGTAGAAAACCCAACAACATTTGACGGTGTTCCGGTAGGAAGCAAGTAAGAAAATTGTGCTCCAATAGCTCCAGGGACCATGAGTAAGAGTGGGTGCAAATGCATGGTTTTTGCAATTTGTATTAGCAATGGGATCAACAATGTTGTGGTAGAGTTGTTGGAGGTGAACTCGGTAATCGTTCCACCAATGAGGCACACCACCGGGGCAATTGCCCAAAACGGGGCGGCCTCAAGGAAGTCCAATGCCTTGGACAGGACGTCTGCAAGGCCGCTTGTGCGGACACCTTCCGCTATAGCGAAACCGGCACCTAATAGAAGGACTATGTTCCAAGGCAGCTTCTTGCACTTGTTCCAATCCATTAGTTTTTCTCCCTTCTGCCTTTTGTTTGGTATTATGAATAACAAAGTTGCCATCAACACCTATAAATATATGTACGTAGCCTAATGAGCTCAAGCTATGATTGTTAAGTATTAAGAGCAATGCAATTTATATATTGGTTGTACAACAAAAATATATATACTCTAAAACTAAACCTAGCATGCATGGAGGGAGCATGCTTCCTGTTTTCATATATATGAACATAGTAATTAGTAAGTTATTTTTTTTTTTTTTTTATCCTATCTATCTAAACATTATATTTTAATTACTATATGATTAGTTTTAACTTACCGCTTTTAATATTACATATGTTACCTTGCTTTCAAAAGTAGTGAATAACTGATCATACGCATATCTCTATTCCATATAAACAAGTCGCATGTGACTTTTGTGACCAAATTATAAACTATTATGATTGAGACAAGCGTAGGTCAACAACGTGAGAGAGTTTGACCAAATACTATATAATCCACTAAATTTAATTGTATACATGTAAGAGAGATTATATAATTTAATTTGAGAATTATTTTGTACCCCGTGCTTATAAGATAGACATATTAGAAACACGTAATTTTACGATGAAATTTGATTGTAATTAAAAGAAAACCTAATTAAATATGTTTAAAATTCTAAATATAAGTATTTACATAACATTACAATGCATAAAGTACTTACACTAGCAGTGCCATCACCAGCTCTTCCTTTAAAAAGAGCTCCCCATCCAGGCAGTTCATCTGTCAAGTTCCTTGTCATCCATAGCACTATTAGCCCCTACATTCCCAAAGATAAAAAGGGTAAAAATTCATTACCTACAAAATATGTACAACAACTTAGTTTATTCGTCACTCATAATTTAAACTTATCCTACTAACCTACATATATATATAATCCTTACATATAATTATTAGTATAATTGTCCATCATATTAATAGTTCAATTTATACATTTAATCTAATCGGACATTTTAATTTTGATGTGATTAATTAATTTTGAACGGAGAAAACGTTACTTACCGAAAAGACGGACAACACCATCTTTTCTTCGAAGGACATTGGACCTGCGTCCCCATGAAAATAATAAACAATCAAATTATCTCTTGACAAGAGTCAATAGTCAAATAATCGATTTGGATAAGTTCTAAAGACAATTTTCATACTACGTGTACTTTGTACATAAATATAATTAAACTAAGCCACGTATAATATACCAAGTATGACATCTTCAAAGTTTTGGATAAGATGCATCTCTTATTCTCTTTCCTACTTGTCAACTATTTAATCAAAACCATCTACCACTAGGAATCGTGGTGGATTCATAATTATCACTTTAAGCAATAAATTATTTATCACTTTTCACTTAAACATGTACCTAGCTAGTTAGATGTATTAATATAATGAAATAAGGAGTATCAATTAAGAATGCATGATTTAAAAATTATACTTTCAAATCATAGCTCATACAATTGTCTTAAACAAAATTTATGACCAAAATTAGTTAGTTATATATATGAATATTAATACATGGTCAGGTGAGCTTATATGATGCGAATTTTATGACTTAAATAAAATTCATGATAAATATAAAATAAATAGATCGTTAATATAGGGCAGTGGAGTTAGAAGCAATTTGACTTCACTAAAAAAACGAGCTCGGTAAAATTAGAGAATATTTTACCTAGCGAGTCAAGTTCTGTTTTGAGATGAGTTTTATCCAAGTAATTAGAAAGAACCCTCGATGAGCCTCTTTCACAATACAAGCAACAAAGAATAACCCACATAAAGAAGAAGATTATGACGGCCAAAGGAAACCCAAAGAAGAACCAAGTGTTGAAACTAATGGGATTCGCTTCAGGAAAATAACTTTTCCACATTCCAACCAATATCAGGTTGACACCTGTCCCAGTTAAAGTAGATATTCCACCTATAGCTGCAGAGTATATCACTCCAAGGACCACTGCCCTACAAAACTTGTCAATGGTGTTGGATTCCCCTGTCCTCGTAGTCGGAAGTCGTTGTAGGATTCCGGTGGCCACGGGCATCATCATCACGGCACATGCAACGTTGTGCATCCACATGCTGACAAATGCCGTTGTGCCACAAATCCCAAGTAAAAGTAGAGGAGGGTTTACAGGGTCGCCACAAAATAATAGAGTTATCTGTACATGTATGTGAAACATCAAACATTTGTCTTGGTAGGAAATAAAAAAAAAGCACCCTAATTAGAGCTTGCCTTTTGGTATAAACATAAAGTCCGGAGACATAATTATTATAATTTTTCTTATACACTAAGGCTATGTTCTGTTTACCTTATTTTCACTTATTTTAGGTGTAATAAGTTCAGATAAGTTTAGTTCAGGAAAAATTAGTTCTGATAAAGGGTACCCAAGTACAAATTACAACTAAAATAAGTTTTAATAAGGTCTAATAAATTCATATAAGTTCTGATAAATTCAGGGAAGTTCAGATAAGATAAGATAAGTTCAAATAAGTGAAAATTACGTAAATAAAACACACCCTAAATCTTTATTTTTTTTTTCTCAGGTGAGTTGAATAAAGATTTAATAATTCACAAGATAAATTTAAAATTATTGAGCTACAAACAAATTATTAGCACATGGAAATAATTTTGGGCCAATAGAAAATTAGTTTTGATCTTTCATACAATCATACATACAATTTATTGTATTTGTGGGAATAATGAACAAACAAATAGACCAATGTAAAATCACCGAGCATCCCCAATCATACTGTATGTGCCAATCAATTCAGTGGATATAAATTACTTATTAATGTATATGAGCCATAATAATGGAATCTATTCATCATTGGCTTTATTACTTCGTTGTACCAGCTGTCGCCTTACTATATAATTAGTAGATAGGGACTACAATTATTGTACTCCCTCCGTTTTATAATGTTAGTCCCATTTACTATTTTGGCCGTTTTAAAAAGATCTACTCATATTGATATGTTCCATTTTTAACTTAAATTTTTTGGAATTAATTGTTTGTGGATTGATGACATGATTCTAAGTAAGGAAATCTTTACCTTGAATTATGCAATTATGACTTATGCTTTTCCAAAAAAAAAAAAAATTAAAAAATTTAAATAAGGTAAACTAATTATGAATTATTTTGTACTTTAATGTTAGATTCCAAATATTCTTCATTTATTATTTTATGTGATTGATTCCGATCCATATGAGACTAACATTATGAAACGGAGAGAGTACTAAATTGTTTTATCACCACATAATTTATTTAAGTAATACAACTAGAATAACATGTCTTTGTCAGGGGATGATTAATTCAAAACTCTTATAATTTCACCCCAATTTAAAGACTAATTAAAGTCATATATCCAATAAGAATAACCAAGATTAAAATGTGAGAAAGACTAGAAATTTGCTTTAATCCCCCTCAAATTCTTAATGTTTATAAGACAATTGGCTTAGAGAGTAATACCAACAATATTAAAACTATTAATAATGTTGCAATTGATTTTGAACGTGAGAACTTATGGATACTTTCTAATTGTATAAATGTTAAATGTATGTATAGTAATAGTGTCATATTGTTTTATAAAAAAACAATAATATAATTTAAGAATAGGTAAAGTGAAGTTTATAAAGCAAATTTATTAATTTAATGTTACAGAGTAAATTTGTAATGCTATACGTATGCAAGTACCTAATACAACTAAACAAGTACTTGAGTAACAGCTAAAATTGAAGGCCATTTAGGAGCAATAATTATTGAAGATCAATTAGTTTGTATGCCACAGTTGTAAACCCAGGTGCCACTTTTCAACTTTTAAGATAATAAAGTACACGTATCTTTTTATGTCTATCTTACTTTTCAACTATGTGGTGTACATTACTCACATATTCTGATATTCATATTGAATATTTTACAAATAGTTGATTAACTCAAAACACTCAATCATCATCACCACCATCAACAACCCAAAATGGTGGTAAATATAAACTGGTAATTAAGACTAAATTTATAATGTATCAAATAAGAATCTTATTGCGCTATTAATATTGATCCAATAATAAGCTAGTTTAATCGATAAAACAAACAATCAGCATGCGTTTTAACTGTATTCATATAAACTAGCCATCCACAGCAAAATTTAAAAGTGACAAGAAATGAAAAACATTTTGGACTTACATTCAAGGCCAACCTCTTGTGAATATTATAATGCTCAACAGCAAGAGCAAGAATGAAGCTACCAAGCACAAGAGAAATCACATCATCCATGTAAGACTTAGCAACCACATCGGCGGAGGAGATTCCAAAGATCGGAAAAAGGAACAACGGCGACATGGAGGTGATCGGCATAGGGACCGCCATGGTGAGCCACCACGTAAAAATCCATGCAAGGACACCCAACATATTTCTACTAGACTCCAATTCACCAACTTTCACCCACAAACATATTACTCCACATAACAAAGGTCCTAGAAGAATAAAGAACGTGTTAGGTGTGACAAGTGACATGATTAGGGAGGTGGAACTCTCTTGATTAACATCGTTGTGATTGAGTGGGAGAAGAGGTGTTTTAAGATCATCGGTCGCGATTGCTTGATGATCATCATCGTGCTTATGGTGATCATCTGTAACATTCATGGCTAGAAATTAAACAATAGTGAGAGAAGTTGAGAGAAAAAGGAAGAAATTATAATGGAGGAAAAATATATGTATATATATATATATACTAGGTAATTAATTAATTAATTATGTATGGGAAAAATAGAAAGATGGGGGTCTACTATTTATGGAGTTTGGATATTGCTATTGGATAATATGAAAGAACATGGACTGCCTTGTTGTCTCTTGGAAGTTTTATGACCATGAACTAATTTCATATAGTATATGTTTTTTTAAGGAAATTTCATATTATTTGATTTCATCATTTGGCTTTTTTGATTATTTCTTTCCTTAGCTTATCTCATTAAAAGCTAGTTCAACCGTTATATTTTTTTTTTCTTTCTTTGAATGAAAAATAACCATGTAAAATTCCCTCAACTCTAAATCATCCACCAAGTTTTCGACATGTAGCGCAATAATATTAACTCTATTATTTGTCTCCTGAGGGAGACTTGCTATCGGGGAGGCCAAATTATTCCTAGTAAATTACAAAGTAATTTAGTTTTTTAGATGTTGAATATTTAGTACTCCGTAAAAAAAAACTTAAATAACTCTATATTACCTACGGAGTTCAAAATATTGTGGCATAGTAATTAGTTTTTGCATGAGAGCTTAGTGACTTAGATTCTGACACGTCTAATATTTTTGGACAAGATCCGCTAATCGATAGTAATTCATGAAAGGTTAAATTTAGTAAATTTAGAATCCTAATATATATTAAGATACTCAATTATTTCAAACTTCTTTGATTTGAGGTTTACAATGATTGATCAAATGCCTATAAGATAACACGAGTATGTATATCACAATCATATACACAATAAAATAGTATATTATTCCATAAGCTTAGTGATCCAATTTCTAGCTTGGGGTAGATTGAGTTTAAGAAAATAGCTTATTTTAATTTGATGAACGTTCTAGCTGACCATTCAAAGTTTGGAATTAACTAATGTATTTTTTTTAATCAATATCTACTAATCTACAATTATTGTCTAAACCCAAGGTATACTACGGAGTATACGGTAAGCTCAATAAACTTTATCCGAAAGGACGACATGGGAGTTTATAATTCATACGAGTATTGTTTTCCATGTCATTTTCTACTTACCTTATACTAGAGGTGTTAAAAAAAAACCCGACCCGGTTGTCCCGTCCTGATTATCCGATGACATGAAAAATTATTAGGCAGGTAGAAAATCATATACTTTAATGATATGCAAAAAGTACTATTATAATCATTAAAAAATATCTTTATAGATCATTATATTTATGATATTATCACCTTGCCCTTCCATTAGTCGCTGAGAATCACTCAAAAAAATCCTAATAAACATAAGGCATATATGTATTATTTTTAGTACTGTCAAAACGGTTTGATAGTTCGGTTTCGGTTCGGTTTGAAATCGGTTCGGATTGAAATCGGGTCGGTTTGAAATCGGTTTAAATGTCTTACGGGTCGGTTTCAGTTCGGTTTAAATAATTATCGGTTCGATTCGGTTTCGGTTTATTCTTGAACGGTTTAAATTCGGTTCGGGTTGTAAACGGTTCGGGTAGTAAACGGTTCGGTGCAGACGGGTTGCGGTTTGTTAACGGTTCGGTGTAAACGGTTTTTATCTCGGTTTAAATTCGGTTCGGGTTGTAAACGATTCGGTGCAGACGGGTTGCGGTTTGTTAACGGTTCGGTGTAAACGGTTTTTAATCCCGGTTCAAACAATTTCGGGTTAGAAACGGTTCGGTTCTTTTTTGGTTCAATTTTATTTTAGTTCGGTTTATAACTGTTTCGGTTCGTTAACGGGTTCGGTTCTTCTACGATTTAACATATTTGGATCGGTTTTATTTCAGATTTACTAAATTACGGTTCGGGTCTATTTTTGATTTTAAAAAATTGGTTATTTATCGAGTCGTTTGGATTCGGGCAATTAAACGATTTTGGTTTGAAATTTTATACTACCTTCTAACTTTTTGCTGGTTAACAAGTTTTATATCAAGTCGAGACTTCATCACTTCATATTATATGCAAATTCTCATTAATTTTATAAATACATATCATGTTATGTTTCCAGTTTAGCCATACTGATCTTACTAGTTTATTACAAATTATATTATAAAAGTTTATTGCAAAATGTAATATTGTAATTAGGATATGAAATTGTGGTTTAGGCTTTTGCTACAATGTTCTAATCTCATAGAACCATACTTAAATGAACAAGTATTAATAGTTTTAGTCACTTTACATTATTGATATGTTGTTTCTTATTTGTCTCGAAGTATGCCTACTCTGTATTTAGGAGTATGATGGTAAAGGATCTAGTGTCTTACACTGCTATATGGTTGCTGGCTTTCCACTTGACAACCACTTCTTTTATACTATGGTGGATCTTGAAGTATTTAATTGGTGAAAAACAAACAGGACTTGCATATGTCAACGATAAGCTTATGATCAAAAATTGCGCAACACTTACATGAATATATGGTTCAAATTTAAGATCATGCTTTAGCACCGATAGCATTTTCCATATTCAGGTGCTTGCTCTATCTTCTCAATATTGTTTTCTGGTTTTCCCATTGCATTACCCTTCCTTTGAACCTTGTCTGATAGTCTTATGTGTTTTTTTTCTTTAAATGTAAGGCATTTAAAACCATTTAACATTCTTGAAATATGGAAATCATAAAAACCATCTCTTTTCGAACTCAAGACATCATACTGAAGTCATAATAACGAGGGATGAATTGAGGAGATAATGACCAGCACAGACCCGCCCAATAACCACCCCTAGTAGGAAGTGGTTTGTAAACGGTTCGAATTATAAGCGATTCGGTTCATAAATGGTTCGGTTTATAAGCGGTTCGGTTTATAATCAGTTTGGTTTATAAATGGTTCGGTGCAAACGGGTTGCAGTTTGTTAACGGTTCGGTGTAAACGGTTTTTATGCCAGTTTAAACGGTTTCGGGTTAGAAACGGTTCGGTTCATTTTCCTTTCAGTTAGGTTTAGATTTGGTTCGGTTCTTAAACGGTTTAACATTTACTCGGATCGGTTCGGTTTCGGTTTTACTAACATGCGGTTCGGGTCGGTTTTCGGTTTCAAAAAAATAGGATTTTAATCGGTTCGGTTCTCATTTGGATCGGTTGAAACAGTTCGGTTCGGTTTTTGACAGTGCTAATTATTTTGTAATAAATATGATGAAAAATTTATAAATATTGACATATATTTTAATAAGATATCATTAAATAGGTAAATAATACAATTTAATGGTATAATGATATACACCAATATATTTTTCTAATTATACAAATTAATATGTAGAAATTACATATTATACCATAATGAGATTTAATAGTAGCAATGAGATATATAACATATACTCTAGTGATATAATATACTTACATAATGGCATGCCTAAAAATAAGAGTGTAAAACTTAATATATTTGATAAGTATAAGTATATTCCTAAGCCTCATATATACTTAAATATATAGATACCATCAGCTTAAACTAACTTCTGATATCTTAAACTAAATTAGTGACGGTTTTCCAAAGCCGTCACTAATTAGTGACCGTTTTCTGAAAACCGTCACTAATTAGCGACCGTTTTAAAAAACGGTCACTAAATTCGCATTTTAGTGACGGATTTTGTGGCCGTCACTATAATCCGTCACTAAAACAGTGTTTTCTTGTAGTGTGAAAAATGATCCATTTAGACCTCGAGAAGAAAATGAGGAAGTTCTTGGCCCCCAAGTATTGTACCCAAGTGAAATTGGCGCTTTAATGTATTTAGATAACAATACTAGACCCGATATTGCTTTCTCTGTGAACTTGTTAGCCAGGTACAACAGTGCACCAACACATAGACATTGGAAAGGATTTTGCCATTTACTTCGATACTTACGAGGAACACAAGATCTTGGTTTATTTTATCAATCAAAACAAGATGCTACTCTCACCGGATACGCAGACGCTAGATACTTATCAGACCCACAAAATGCCAAGTCACAAACTGGATATCTATTCACATTTGGGGGCACTGTGATTTCATGGAAATCAACAAAGCAGACATTGACAACAACATCATCAAATCATACCGAGTTGATAGCCCTTTATGAAGCGGGACGAGAACGTGTATGGCTAAGAGAATGTGGAACCATCATCTATAAAGACAATACGACATGCATCTCTTAAGTAGCTGAAGGATACATTAAAGAGATAAATTAAACAAAACACCTATCCCCAAAGTTATTCTTCACACATGATCTGCAAAAGGAAGATAAAATAAACGTCCAACAAATCCAATCTTGTGAGAATCTCGCCGAGAAAATTCGAGCAACTAGTTCAGAAAATCGGAATGTGTCATCTTCGTGAACTATGTTGAAATCAGAGGGAGCATTATATGCATTGCACTCTTTTTTCTTTCGATCAGGTTTTTATCCCAATGGGTTTTTCCTGACAATGTTTTTAACGAGGCAGTATATCAATGCATATAATATAATTTTGTTGTGCCTCTTTAGCTACGATTTTTATCCCATATGGTTTTACCTAGCAAGTTTTCTTATGAGGCAATCCATACCCCATTTCATGTGAACATTCAAGGGGGAGTGTTGAGGAAAAATACAAATGTGAAAGTTCACATGTGATGTTTAGGCCAATTATATGCTCAAAATTATAATAATGTTTAATATTTTATTGTAAAAATTTTCCTATATATAGAGACTTCATGTAGTAGTAAAAGGATGAGATAATTTCATTCATTTCTACTTCACGTACTTCATACAAAATTTATCTATCGGTAAAATTCTTTTAACATCGTCAAGTATTAAGATGTGTTTTGCGATTGCACAACAACTTGTTAAGTCTCCAGAGCCTATTCAAGAAATTTGCAAGGATGAAAGACGGAAGTGGTTTAAGGTAGATTAAAATTGATTAATATAATTAGAGTTTGGTTTAAGTAATAGTTTACATGCATTGATAGCTAATTTTATTTTTATTTCCTGGATATATGTAGAATTGTATTGGGGCTTTAGATGGAACATACATCAAATTGAGGGTCCATGAAACGGAAAAGCCTAGATATCGGAGAAGGAAAGAGGACATAGCAACAAATGTTTTAGCTGCTTGTTCTATAGATATGTATTTACACGTTTTTTATTGTGCCACGTGGACCAATTTGGTCCTGACGCGTGGCAGCCAAATGGCCTAATCAGTGCGTGACACGTGGCACATTATGCCATGTGTGCTGATTTTTCTGGAGTCTGCCATGTGCCATGTGGACCATTTATGTCACGACACATGGCCTTTCGTGCCAAGAAAGCACTGTCGGGTCCGTAGAGGATTCGGCTCCAAAGGAGTCAGCGCGTCGAGGTCC